TATCTCCACTAATTTAAGGATAATTTGGAAGAAGGGAGAAGCTCCAGAAATTTGGTACAAATGACGGAGAACAGGTACGTCCCCACAGCTATAGGAAATTTGGGAATTAATTCTGTATACAAAGCCTTACACATTTACCGACACATTGTTGATGCCAATTGCCTGTGAAATACGATCAGTATGGGCTGCTAGGCGATCATTTTCCGTTTATAGCGCGGAAGGAAGGGATGGTAGACATTTCAGACCCAGAAAATTGGAACGTGGTTGCAAAACCTGATCCTAGCGGTGCTTTACTATGCGATTATATACGGAAAGCATAGGAATTTGAGGCATCAATAAAGATTGTGACGATGTACACCAAGTATGATTATGATTTACCGAAGGATATCTAGTCGATAAGTTTGTTTAGGTTTGGCGTTTGAGTCTTGTAGTTTCGCTGCTCTTTTGGTCATCATATATCAAATTTCTTGGACCTGCTCTTCTTTTTATCGCTTTGACGTTTTTTGTGAAAAAGTCGTTTTTCCTTCTTGTCTTCCTTGATTTCCTCCCACTTTTTCTTATCCTCTTCACTCACTTCTCCAGGAAAGAATGTCCGCTGTTTGATTTCCTCGAGTAGTTTTCTAAAGCATTCGGCGGTATTTGTATCTCTGTTTCTAGTAGCATCGCTTTGGATCAAAAGTCCACCAGATTTGGTTTCGTAGCGTAATTTGTTATCCACCAATTGTGACCTTATTGCACTTGGAATCCAGTAACAGAATTGAGGATTGAGCCATCTGTCGGGAGAGAGCGAAACAGTAGCCTTTGAAGAAGTCTTGTTGACTTTTTGGCCACCAGCACCTGATGCCCTACTGTAGGATATCTCGAAGAGAGTCGCTGGAATATCTGATGGTTGGTAAGATTCTAGCCATTTTTTGGCTTCAGAGATATCTTTTTCTGTGTGTAGTGGTCTATACTGTGATCTCCAAAAGGTTGAAGGGTTTTTTAGTAGTGGAAGTATAAATGGACGGTGCAAGCTTCCGAGTGAAAAATTGTGAAACCGAGGAGCCTTGAGCATGGAGGTTACTTGGTGAAATGCTGAAGATGCTGTGACGTGGTACGGTAGAAAACGACCTCTATGGATTTAGTTTTTATGTTTTTCGAAATCGAGATCAATAGCCAAAAAGTATTTTGCAATTTCGTGAGAATTGGCTGCGACTAGAAATAAGAACGTCAATTGCATACATAACTAAATTTAGAAAGCACCTTTTTATACTTGAGAAAGGACCTTTTCGGCAGCAGAAACGTCCACGCTAACATTGTCAGGCTCAACAAAAGTCTTCACAACTTTTCCATCATCCACCAATAAGGCAAACCGCTTCGAACGGTGGTTTCCAAATGCCTTTGTGGCATCAAAAGTCAAGTCTAAGGCTCCTGTGAACTCCCCCGTGGAGTCTGCCAAGTATCTAAGCGACCCAGACCCGTCGAGCTGTTCGCCCCATGCTTTGAAGACAAAAGGGTCGTTAACACCGACAACAAAAATCTTGTCATAACCCTTGTTTTTGAACTCTTTCAAGTTCTTCAAGTATCCAGGAACATGAGAAGCAGAACAAGCAGGCGAAAAAGCACCGGGAACTCACAATTACAGCTTTTCCTGACCCAATTTCTTCGGTAAGGCTCACCAAGTTTCCAGGAGAGCCCTCAAAAAGATTTGCTTTTGGCAACTTGTCGCCAACGGAAACGCTACGTATAGCCGAGGCGGTGAAACTGCGGGTCAATTGAGGTCTGAAACCTAATACTGCACTTCTGAACATTGTCGATTGAGGATTAGATATTTCAAGAGTTGCTGCGATTCGCGAATCAAATTCGCACCAGTTTTAAATTCTCA